TCGAGTCGATTTGACTCAGAGCAACACTTCCTCGGGTTTCTGAAGTGGTATCTATACAGAAGTAGATTGCCCAATCTTCCTTCCAAGGAGTGGCTGGTGGGTTTGAACCATCAGCCTTCTGGTTAGCAGTCAAATGCCTTAGTAAATGGTAAGATTTAAACTAGTTCAGCAGTTAAGATAAGAATATAAATTCAGGAACCAGACTGCCTGGGTTTAAAAACCCAACACCACCACATTCTAGCCCTCTGACCGTAAGAAAGTAACTTAACTTCTCGGGGCCTAAGTTTACCCATCTGTAAAATGAGATAATTAGGCCATCTACCTCCTAGGGCCATTGTGAGAATTCAGTGAGTTAATACTTGTAAAACACTTAGAACAGTGACTGGCCCATTATAAGGATTATGTGTTTGTTAAATAAATTCCACAAACAGAGGCATTTCAAAATGCTTGGATTTAGGGAAATAAGTTCTTAGTTGAGATCACAGGGACTTGACACAGCTGGCCTGGTAGGAGGGAAACTGAGAAATGAGAGGTGAGGCTCCATGGTGTGTGCTGACCTGGACCAAGGTCCAACATCCTCCACCAAAACACAATCCCTTTCAACCTACCCAGGAATGCAACTCATTGTCCCAAGCATCAAATGGTCCAAGTCAGTAGTTCTCATCTTCTTGGGGTGGCAGTTTTCTTAGAAAATCTGATTAAAGCTTTAAATACAATCCTATTAAAAATGCACATAAAAGTTTGTGTATTATTTCTATTTAAAAAAAAAAAAAAAAAACTCACTGCTATCAAGTCAATCCTAACTCACAGCGACCCCCATTGGGTTTCCAAGGCTATAAATCTTTACAGAAGTAGACTGCCCCATCTTCCTCCCATGGAACAGCTGGTGGATTTGAACTACCTACCTCCTGGTTAGCAACTAAATGCCTTACTCACTATGCCACCAGAGCTCCTTATTGTTTCTAGGGGTTCACATATCCTTCATTCCATGTATCTTAAGATTCTCTAAGCTGGGTGTCTTAACATACATTTTGTTGCCGTTGTTGTCAAGTGCCATCGAGTTAGCTCCAACTCATAGTGACGCTAAGTACAACAGAAGGAAACACTGCCTGGTCATGTGCCATCCTCACAATCCTTGCTATATCATTGCAGCCATTGTGTCAATCCATCTTGTTGAAGGTCTTCCTCTTTTTCTCTGACCCCCTACTTTACTAAGCATGATATCCTTCTCCAGGGAGTGCTCCCTTCTAAAAACATTCATGGTTTCACTTAAATCTTATTTAACAGTCTGTAAAGTTCAGAAAAACAAATTAACATTCCTAGCATGTGGCAGAAAAGAGATTTGAACTCAGGTCTATTAGACTCCAAAGTCTGTGCTCTTAACCATTAAATTATACTGCCAAATTCTACTACCCTCCCTTCATACTAGAAGATGGGGCAAGAAAAAGAATACTCCTTGAAGATATTCCATGTGGCATTTTTACTGAGAAAAGCGAACAACAGACTATTTTACATATGAGCAAAAAAGCTATTCTCCATTCATTCACCAAAAATCTATGGACAACTTACTGTATACATAGTTGTTACTAGTTTCTGTCAAATCAATTCCAACTCATAGTGACCCTGTGGGTGCACAGCAGAACTGCTCCATAGGATTTTCAAGATGATGTGACCTTTTAGAAGCAGAACACCTGGCTTGTCTTCTGGGGTGCCTCTGGGTGGGTTCAAACAGCCAACTTTTTGGCTAGTAGTCAAGTGCATACTAAGTATATGCATGTGTGTGTGTGGGTACATATGTATATGATGTCTATACACATATAAACACATATGGTGTGTATATATATATATATATATATATGATGTATGTAATTTATATGCATAGGACTTATATATTTTTTATATAATTTATAATTTACATCAATGTAAACACAGTCTACAAAACATTCATTCTTCATAGGATGCTGCGTAAAATCTTCTAAACAATTTCAATGGGAGTAGCTGGTCACTCTCAAATCATAGCCAGATTTGATATTAACAGATGCAAGTGATACACCATTTAGAAACCTTTTGTCAGTCTAATTTAGGACCTATGTGTACTGTGCAGGACTGGGAGAAAGTATACTAAAGGCCAAAACTGAGTTTTTAAAAGGATTCCTAATTAAATATCAGGCAGATAAACTTAGATATCAAAGTAGCAAAACAGCCTACCAGGTATGCTGAATCAATATTGGAAATTAACTATTCCCAAAACATGTTAAGATACAGTTTGACTATGTATCTTTTTCAAATATAACCTGTGTGTGGTGCCCCCTAGCCAGCTAGAGAGGATTTTCAAGCATGTCTAATAAAGTTTGGGTTAGCTGACTTGAGCCCTCTGTGTTTTCACTGGAGAGCTGACAATCTTATTGCCCTTAAGAGACTCTTACTCAAAAGTAGATAGGACATACAACTAATGGATAAGAAGGGTTACAAAATGACAGCAAATACAGTAGCCAGCCACCTCTCTCTGCCTCCAACCAGGCAAACCACAAAATCCACAAACCAGGATTCTAAGAAAGGCCCAGGTAAATTCCTAAGGCCTTGAGTTTGGATGCAGTTATAATGGCTTCAGTTTCCTAGAGAGGTTTCACTTTAGGTATGTTTGAGCTAGAAGGGAAGATTAAAACTAAACAGACCAGAAAAAATAAATTTAAAGGATCATACCTTCTGGCTAACAAAATAGAAAAGTGATAGGAGAAAAACTGAGCATTCTTTAAAAATAAATAAATGAAACAACTCTCCCCTTAAGCTGATTTTCTGAGGCACTGGCTAGGATACCTTAGGAACCCGGGATCACACAGGCTAAGAAAATCTGAGATTCACTGGGAACCCTTGTTCTCAGAGAAAAGGCAAAACATTCACAAAAATGGAAAGGGCTTTGTAAAGTAACAAATGAAACATTAACAATAGGTTTGAGCTCATTACTGAGAGATAGGGAATAGACTATACTCACTAAAAATAAAATAAGCCAGTAAAGGTGTTAGGAGCTCTGGTAGCATAGTGCCTAAGGCATCTGACTGCTAACCAGAAGGCTGGCGGTTTGAACCCACCAGCCACTCCTCGGAAGGAAGATGGGGCAATTTACTTCCCTGGTGATACTGCCTCAGAAACCCAAGGAGGGGTCGCTATGAGTCAGGTCCGACTTGACAGCACATAACAACAACAGTAAAGGTGTTAAGAGTTAAAGCAGACAGAATGTAGGTGGCTGCTGCTTAAGTTGCCTTTCACTCGAAAAATTGTTGCATGGGCATTTGTTTAAAGGCAGATGGCTAAAGAAAGGTGCACTTCTATCTGCCACTTCCAGGGGCTATGATCTAAAAGCTTCTACTGTTGAAAGGTTACGTTCAGGTTAACCAGGGCCCCAAACCTGCAGTTTTACCTTAGCTATCATCACTACTCCACCTCGGTTTGCTGGGCAACTTGACATCAGAACGATGTGTACATTGGGTAGGCAGCATGGTCCACTTTTTACTTTTCATCCAGGTGTTGTAGAACAGGCCCAGATGTTTGGCATCAGGCATCCATGTGACCAAACTGTTTACATTTCATTACCATTTTTCATCAGGAAGGTGCCTCCCTGCTGATGTGCATCTTAATTAAAATTAGGAGCTGTATTCACGAGCAGCCTCCAGAGTGGAAGCACAATCACACTATAGGATCAGTTTCAGAATCATCCTCAGAAAATTTTGCTGCCACTTCCTCAAAATTCTTTCTAAGAAATCCATATGCACACACAACTTCCTTCCACAGTGTGTTTTCTACCAAGAAAGTTATTAGCTCTTAGTTAAAAAACTAAGTCTGTATTCATGTTACTTGCAATGAATAGATCTTTGCCCTCAACTGCTAAATTTTTTCCCAGGAAAAGCGCTACCTTAAAAATGAAAGATGCATGATAAAGGAGCAAAGATCTATTTATCCGCACAGGTTTGCAGCTGGTAGGGGAGGAGGGAACAATTCAGGGGCTCCAACACCCCCTCAAGGGATGCATGTTAAAAGTGAGGCCCCAGATCCTGGAGACTTTAATCAACTTTCCCCCTCCAACCTCCAAAGAATGAATCGGTTGTATCCACAGGCACAGCCGGGCTCTTCCCCTGCATTGTGTACCGGCTCAGACTCAGCAAGGATCGAAGCTTCCCGCAGCGAACTAAGACGCTCCGGCTTTCGGTGGAGTCTTTCTCTAACTGTTGGAATTGTCTTTGGAGATTACCAAAATCAAGTATGCATTAGATGGCTTTTTCTCCTCCTAGTTTGTAACACATACACACTGACACACACACACATACACACACACACAGCACTTTAGAGCAGCAAGCCGCCTCTGACAGCATATTTTGCACAAAGTGGCGGCGACGACGACAGCGCACACGTTGTGGCCTCCATCGTGACCCTCTGGAGGGACCAAGAGCCTAGGGCTGGTGGAGAGGCGAGGCCGGCGGAGTCCCAGGAGGGCAGGGTTTTTGTTTGCCTCTGTCTGCGTACAGCCTGGGCTCTAGCAGGCAAAACTGAAAATACAAACTCCCTCCTGGACCGCAGTCTCCAAGAGGGCTCTTTATGTGAGCATACAGACTTCCTGAGCACCGACTGGGTCTCGATGGAGGTCCAGGGAGAAATGGGGTGACAAACAGCACGGAAGTGCCCCCATCGCCCTAAGATCCCTGACCCCCTTCGGGCTTCCTGTCAGCGCTGACAAGTCACTGCTGCTGGGCGCGGAGGAAGAAGCTCTCCAACGCACCCCCGGCCCGCAGCGGGACACCAAGGCATACCCTAGCCTGCCAGCCCCACCGTCCAGAATCGCATTTGCAAGACGCCGCGCGGGTCGGCGGCCACCTCCGAAGGCAGGCGCGGCGGCTTCCTGTCCACACAGGCCCCCGCCAGCCGAGAGATGGCTCGGCGAGGGCCAAGGAGGCCGGCCGGAGGGTCTGAGCCCTGCGGGCGCTAGAGATGCGCCCGGCGCCTCTTACCTTGGGTAGCTCCGCGCGCGGCCAGCAGCAACGCGGCCAGCAGCGCCTGGAGCTGCGGGCGCGCCCCGCGGCTGCGCGGCCGGTGCATTCCTCGTCTCACTGCGGCGGCGGCGGCGGCTCCCGACCCGCGCGCAGAACATCCACGGGCTCTCCTCGAGGTCCTGGTCACCTCGTCCCGACCGCTCTCTTTCGCAGGATGCCGGGGTCGTCTACAGAGTTCTTTGTCCCTCTAACCTGCACTCTCGCCTTCTCACGGCCGCTCTGGACCCCGTAAACGCGGTCCCTCCCCAATGCTCCCGCTGCAGGCTCTCCCTGGCCGGCCGGCCAGTAAATCCCAGGCAATCCCAATTGAGTTTGCGGAAGGTGAGTCTGCCTGGCCCCAACACTGAGAAGAGAGCGCCCTACGCCCGAGGGCTGCCGTCCCGGGGCTCCCTCCCTAGCGGCTACGGCGACTACTCCCGCTCTTCGCGCTCCCTCTCTCGCTCTCAGCCTTCCTCAACTTGTCACTTTCTACCAACTCTCCAGCCCAGCGCCCGAGTCCCGACCAATGGCAGTCATGGCTCCAAACCGGCGACCCAGCGCCCTCTGCTGCCGCCTCTCTTCACCCTCACCCTCCCGAACTTCCCAGAGAATAGTTTGTCTTCGCTCCCGCACCTCACGTGTACCCCACCCTCCCTCCCCCACCACGCTTCAGGCCTGCACCCAGAACCAATCCATAGGGCCCTCCAAGTCATTTGAAAGGGGAAACCGAGGCTGAGGGGAGACTTGCCTGGGCGCATGAAGTCGGTTCGTAGTTGAATGGCTTGTTTAGGAGATCCGGTGTTCTACCACTGTTACCTGTGTGTCCTTGGTAATAAAACATTTATTGATATTTTACAATTTCTGTTTTGATTTCTTCTTTGACCCAAAAGTTGTTTGAGAACGAGTTCTTCAATAGGTGATTTATGTTTTCCTGTTTTGTCTTTAATTTCCGGTTGAATGCATTGAAATCAATGTCATCTGTACCGTTTCTCTGTGGAGACTGAGGATTTCTTTCGTCAGTTTTTGTCAGTGTCTCATGGGCTCTTGAAAGCAGGTGTTTCTCTGTCTTCAGGATACAGAAGATAGATGAAAATGTAAATTTCATCTTTTTATATTAATTATGTTATTTAGGCCTCTGGATCTTTGCTTTTTTTTTTTTTTTTTTTGTCCCACTGTTCTGCCGTGGATTGAGAAGGGCATTAAAGTCTCCCACTAAGTGTGTTTTTGTCCATTTCTCTTTTTGGGTTTGGCCTTATGAATAAATATGCATAAATATTCATAATTGCTTGACTTCTCTTGTGGTACTTCTTCCAAGACAGATTTGTTCGTTCTTCTGGCAGCCCATTCAATATTCTTCACCAATGCCATAATTCAAACGCATCAATTCTTCTTAGGTCTTCCTTATTCATTGTCCAGCTTTCAAATGCATATAAACAGTGGCCTCACTAGAGTCGGTGTCACCAGTGCAGTAACTCTTGGTGTTATCTCGCTTGCCTTGAGGCTGTGTATGTGGGGTGGGGGACACCCCTGGTGTGCAAGCACCGGGCTCTACCCCTCCCCTGCCCCTAGCACAAGGCTGAGTAACCCTCTCTCTCCATGCCTCACCCTACCCCCTGCCCTATCCTATATTCCCTTCCCTGTGGCTCCCCACAGCTCCTCCCCTCTACCATTGGTCAAGGGGAGCACCTCCTTTCCACCCAATGGCAAGCACCACAGCCTGCTTACCTGTTCCTTGACGGATGGATCACTGGGGGTGGTGGTAATGAGTTACCACTCTGGGTGACACCAACCATAGTGACTAGTGCAGGGGGGTGACTACTTACAGCACTTGTAACAGGTGACACCAACTCCCACTGCCTTAGCAACCCCTCCCCTGGCTGTGCCAATGCTTCTGTTGCCCCCACTGCTGCAGCCATGGTCCCTGGGGTCATTTTGGTGTCACCCCTCTGACAGTGTCAGGGATGTGGTCCACATTACCCTCTACCCCCTAGCCTACTGCATATGAGGCAATTGAAAATACCATGGCTTGAGTCAGGCACATCTTAGTCCCCAAAATGACAACTTTGCTCTTTAGCACTTTAAAGAAGCCTTTCACAGCAGATTTGCCCAATGCAACAGGTCACTTGATTTCTTGACTGCTGCTTCCATGGGCATTAATTGTGGATCCAAGTAAAATGAAGTTTTTGACAACTTCAATCTTTTCTCCACTTATCGTGATATTGTTTATTAGTCCAGTTGTGAGAATACCCTATTGATAACCACCACTTACTGAATATCTCTTGTGTGCCTTGTGCTTTTTATGTGTTCTCCCATAAATCCTTACATTCACATTAAAAACAATGTCATTAAACATTTTGTACCACATGGCATTTTTAAATGTAGTATTCCTATTTTGTGGTTTTAGAAATTGAAATGTAATTAATTTGCGCACAGTCACACAGAGAATGAGTGGCAAAGCCAAAACTATCTGTTTATAATGGTGAGATTATAGTTCTTAGCCCGAGGCTGGCATATCAGAAACACCCAGTAATGGTGGTGGTGGTTATTGCCTCTGCTGCTGCTGTTGGGTAGCGTAGAGCCTAAGGCATTTGACTGCTAACCAGAAGGCTGGCGGTTCAAACCCACCAGCCACTGCTCAGAAGGAAGATTGGGTAATTCTACTTCTGTGGTGATACCGCATCAGAAACCCAAGGAGGGGTCGCTGTGAGTCGGATCTGACTCTACGGCAGTGAGTTTAAGTAAGACTCCAGCTATAGGATTTTACAATAAGCAGTTACCTCTTTGAGATCAAGGACTCTGTCTCCATTATCCAGGTGTCCTGGGTGCTTCAAATAGTGCCTGGCATACAATAGGAGCTCAGTAAATATTCTCCATCATTTGGAGAATATTTTTCCTCCAATTAGAGCTAAACCTTTCTCATTTTATACTTGCTCATGAGGAATGGGCAGGAAGAAATCAGAAGACAGACAAAATTCCACCTATATTTCTTGGAATTAAGCAAAACATATTTCTAAGAGCTGAGGTATTAGAAGGGGAGAAAATGATAGGGGGAAAAAAAATAGCCCAAAAGATATGCTCGCATGTTATAGACTCTAGACTCCCAGCCCTTTGCCTTCAGGCAGGTGAATAACTAACTCTTGTGGGACAAACAGCCACTTATTCTTCTCCAAGACATCAGGGCAGGAGCCTTCCCAACTGCTTTGGTGGCTTTCTCCCTTTTATCACCCTGACCTAAGGTCAAGGAATGATAGACAGAGGGGCCATGGGTCAACCAGTTCATCCCCCAAATAGGTTTATCCTCCAAGTTTTTCTGCCTCGGACCCATTCAATCCTGTCTCAATTACCTCCATTTGCTTGCCGGAGGAGCTACTGCACAAGGTTCTCTTGTTGGGAACTGTCTTTGATGGTCGGCCTCAGTGATACCGTGACCCAGAAATCAGAGGAAAGTCAGTTACCATACCATCCTGTCATCTACAGTGCAATACACAGCTGCCAAACTAGACGCCTTGCCCAGTCACCCACCCAACCCCCACCCCATAACTGTTAGGCCCAGGTATCTTAGGTAACAAATGGCTGCTGGTGCTAAATATACAGAGCTTAATGGCACTTTTATCAGTACTTAATCCTTCCAGGAACTTAATCACAAAATCATAGTCACAAGGAATGTGAAAGCTGAACAGACCCTTGGATATTAACTAGTACACCTTCCCAAAATATTTTATAGAGAAGAAATGAGGGACTCAGGAAAGTAAAATGTCCTTGCCCAAGGTCACACAGCAACCTAGGTTCACCAGGTCCACATTCTGTCAGTCATTCCAGACTCTTTCAAGTTTAGATGCACCACACTTGCTCCCAAGGAACAAGTTAGAAAAGTTTCTTCTTGTTTAAAAAAAAAAAAGGAAATATTTACACAAGTTCAGTAAATGTCAGTGCTTAGGAGCACAGGCTGCAGAGTCAGGCTGCCTTAGCTCAGAATCCAATTTCTCTGGTTTCTGCTGTTTGACTTAATCCCTCTGGGCTTCAATTTCTCATCTGTAAAATGGTGATGATAATTATAGTATCTACTGTTTACCGTTATGTTAAATGAGCTAACTCATATAAAGTGCTTTTATGGGGATCTGCACAGAGTAGCCACTTAATAAATTTTGTGGTGGTGTTGTTGTTGTGTACCGTCAAATCAATTCCAACTCATAGTGGTGCCATTGATGGACTAGAACTGCCCCACGGAGTTTTCTTGGTTATAATCTTTTTGGAAGTAATTCAAACAGCCCACCTTTCAGATAGCGGGCAAGCATAACACTTGCACCAGCAGGGTTCCTTTAATAAATGTCAGATCTTTTTATTATTATTTATATACATGAGTTTACTTAAAACCAAAAACCAAACTCACTGCCATCGAGTCGGTTCCGACTCATAGAGACCCCTCCTTGGGTTTCCAAGGCGGTATCTCTACGGGAGTAGATTGCCCAATCTTCCTTCCGAGGAGTAACTGGTGGGTTTGAACCACCAGCCTTCTGGTTAGCAGTCAAATGCCTTAGGCACTACACCACTATGAGATAAGTCTTGTTCCCATTTTATGCAAATGGAGAAAGTAAAGTGAAGTTAGATTAATAATTATGCCCAAAGTCACAAAACTAAGGCAATTTGGGGTGATGACAATGTTTTGGAATTAGATAGCAGTGTGGTTGTATAACATTGTGAATGTACTAAATACCATCTAACTGTTCACTTTAAAATGGTTCATTTTATGTTATGTGAATTTCACCATAAAATTTTTCTTTAATAAAAAAAAAAAAAAACACTAAGGCAAACAAGGTAAGACTTAAGCCCAGGTCAGATCTCTATGATACTAAAGTATTTCACATCCAGATGGTGGGATGCAGGAAAAAAAACTACAAGCAATTGAAATGTTGCTCTTGTAGGACTTCTGTGGCCCTGTCCTCTTCTTTGTCAGTCCAATAGTTGCCACAAATGGCTTAGAGAACCCAGGTGGAGCCATTGCCCTTGGAGGTTTCTGGCTCATGCTTTAAGGTTACCTGCTGAGTATCCTTGCTGCTAAGTAGCCCTGGTGGCACAGTGGTTAAGCACTTGGCTGCTAACTGAAGTTTGGCTGTTTGAACCCACCAACTGCTCTGAGGGATAAAGATGTGGCAGCTGGCTTCCTAAATATTTATACCTTGGAAACCCTCTGGACAGTTCTACTCTGTCCTATGACAGAGTCACTATGAGTCAAAATTGATTGAATAGCAGTGGCTTTTGGCTTAGATCCTTGCTGCTTAGGGAGTTGGCCATCTCTCCTCATCTTTGTTACCAGCACACACTTAAAATTGTGAACACTTAGAAAGCATAGCCATGAGCAAGTCAATGGGAAGATAGGGGAAGGGCAGGCTAACAACACAAGGTCAGGCACCAAGGAGAACACCAAAAAACAGCAACAACAAAACAAAAACTACTTTCATTTCCA